CCCCAAAACCCCAAAACCCCAAAACCCCAAAACCCCAAAACCCCAAAACCCCGGGATTTTTTAACATCATTGAAATATGATGATTAAAATTTATATGAGCCAGGAAGACTACAAAGAGGAAAATGTGAACCAGGAAGACGGATTAATACTCAAAGGGCTCATAGGATCAAGTAAGGATAGTCTATTATGCTTAGGAACAGCATTTGAAGAGAAGCTTCATTATTTCAACACTAGACATGCTGATGATTCAAGTATCTTTCAACATGTAATGGTCAAGAAAATTAAAGACGGCTGCCCCACAATTCCTCAAGAGAGGAGAGAAGCTGAAATACTCGAAGAACTAAACCACCCTAATATCCTAAAATGCTATGGCTGGGAATTTCTAGAAAGTATAGAACAAACATCCAGAAAAAGGCAGGAGCATCTTGTCATCCAAATGGAATACTGTCCTGGGCAAATTACTCTCGATTATGAAATTAGAAAAAGGAGATTTAAAAGTCCTATAGATTATTATGAAGAAGACGAAATCATGAAGAGGTTTCTGCAAATAGCCTCTGCGCTAAGAGAGGTGCATAAGAACCATTTAGTTCACAGGGGGCTCACACCAAAAGCTATCTTTATTCTAGAAGAGGAGATCAAACTTGGAGGGTTTGGAGAATCAGTAAAACTTGAATATCAAGATGAGCTCAGGAAATCCATCTGAGGAGAAGATTCCTACAGGTCTCCGGAGGCTTGTCATGGAGAGGAATACAACCATTCAAGCGATATATGGGCACTGGGCGTTCTTTTGTATTATATGTGAACATTCAGAAATCCTTTTGAGGGGATCACAAAGAAGCAATCCCGGACGAATATAATTGAAGGAATTGATCTTGATCCAGTTGTCCCAAGATACTCAGAAGGCTTACAACATTTGTTGGATAGATTATTGATTAGAATTCCTGGACAAAGACCCAATATTGAGGATATCTTTGAGTTTCAATATGTGAAGAGCGCAATTGAGAGTCGAAGGCTTAGTGATTTTTTAAATAGACTATCCATTAGTCCAAGTATGTCTAGTCAAGACTTAGAAAATAGTATAGAAGAAAGAAAATCAGATTCAGGATATCTCTCGAACTCTTCTGGTCCTTTCTCAAATGGTAACGATTCATACAGTATATCTTCAGGATATTTGCGAGTTTCTTCTGGACGACCTACTATTCAAAAAGTTAAAGAACCAAATCATACATCTCACCCAGGCTTTGACACGAAAAGCACATGTGATGATGAAACACATTCAGAATCTCACATAAGATATTCAAAAATTTCTCTAGATCTATCTAAAAATCCCTCATTCAAGATGGATGAGTTGCAAGATGCTATTCCCTTCAAGAATTCTAAACTTTCGGATTACCCCAATGTAAGTTTTAAACACTCAATAAACAAATTATCTCATTTATCTTAAGCATCCATGACCCTTAAGAATGTTGTTCTAATTGTGAATAGATGAATCCAAAAATGAAGTTAAATATCTACTCTAATAAATCCAAGCTAGATACCAACCTCCAATCCTCACCACAGGTTTAAACTAAGCTTTATCCCCAAATAAGTCCTAATTCCCCATCTCTTCTCAAATCACCATCTTAAATTTTATTTCCCATAACCCACACTGACGCTTCAACAGACCAAACTGTTCTCGGGGTTTTGGGGTTTTGGGGTTTTGGGGTTTTGGGG